GTGGGCAATCTAGCGTGTCATACCCTCGTGCTGCTCAACCTTGGTAGCTTGCTCAGCTTGCCCAACTACTTTTCCACAGACGAGGAGCGCGAAGAAGAGGAGGAGGAGGAGGAAGAAGAAGAAGAGAGAGGATTACGACTCCCTCCGCATTGCAAGGTTCACCTCATCGACTCTCATAGACCCTACAACCTCGACAACGTCTTTGCTACTTCCGCACTCATGTCGCGCATCTACGTGTGGGACGACGATGAAGCGCTGGAAAGACTTAGGAGAGAGGGTGAAGCTTACGAAGCACTCGAATTCGAGCTCGATAGCGAAGACGACGAGGACGACGACAGCGCGTCTGAGCAGGAAGAGAGCGACGAAGAAGATACAGAGCTTCTTCCGAGCGAAGACGAGGATGTCGACGCATCATCTGTGGCCGCTTCCACAAGCAGACGCAAAAGACGCAAAATCGCCACCTCGTCTGATGAGGAGGAAGAGGAAGAGGAGGAGCAGTACGGCTCCGACACAGAGCTCCGGAAGAGCTCTAAAGCGCCGAGGAGCAGCAGAAAGGAACGCTCGAGCAAAACATCGAAACCTTCCAGACCTGCTCCAGCCGTGATGGCTAAACATAGGGCGGTGCTATCGCGATACTACGCTCGAGGCACCGGCCACGGTCTGCCAGTCTCGCTCATCATGTGGATGCTGGCAGAGAGGCTTGGTCGAAGCGATAACGAGGGCTTGTGGTGAGTTGGAGTGCGTGATCGCATGCGCATGTCCTGCTCGCTGACACGATGACCAACGCCGACCTCTGCAGGCTCGCGATTCTGGGACTGACGTCGCAATACTTGACTAGCTCGATCGATGTGGAGCACTATGAAAGGGTAGCTGCGCTACTGGCCAGCGATGTGCGCGCTTTAAATCCGAGCATGACTGCAGATGGCGAATCAGACGAGTCGGCAGTGAGGCAGAAAGCATCTGGAGGTCTGGCGGGCAGGGCGGTGGATGCGGACGATGGCCGAATACGCGTGCTGGACAAGGAACTGCGCTTCACCTTGTATCGTCATTGGAGTCTGGAAAACGCCATGTACCACTCGTCCTATGTCGCTGGCAAGCTAAGTATCTGGCGAGAAAGGGGTCTGGCCCAACTCAGAGGGTTTATGGCCAAGATGGGCTTCTCTTTGGCGCAGTGTCGACAAACCTTTGACCATATGGATTTGGACCTTCGAAGAACGCTGGTGGACAAGATCGAATCCATCGCGCCAGAGTATGGCCTGACGGAGTGCGTCTATGCTAGCTTTTTGAGAAGCTACGGGTACCAGAGCAGTCCGCTGAGCGCTGCGGATA